AAAAACCTGTGGAGCAGCATTCTGCTCTGACACACGTGGACCTGCCATGAGCTGTGGCAGTCTAGGTGCCACCACTGAGTTGAGTCAGTGCATGTGGTGCCCAGCATTAATGCCTACGGCTAGGTCGAGTCAGCTTGTTCTATCCATGTCTTACTTCTGCTTCATATCTAAAGTGCTTTGTTCTTGAATTCCTATGATCCTGAAGTCCAAAGGGATGTACCTCACATTTTGTGTTTTAGAGTAAATGTCTATTGAAGTTTTGCTCTTAATAAACCCTGCTAGTCAGTTGTTTTCAAACTCATAGATGCCCAGGAGGCTGAAGAGCTAGACTAGCAGGTACTGTGTTAATTCCTGAACACACAGATTCATTCTGGCTTCCAGATATGCCCCCGTCTTAGTCAAGGGTAGGTACTGGGGCAGGCAGGCAGGTAGGCCCCAGACCAGGTACCTTTTCGGCATCCCAAGGGCTGATGGAGTGTTAGTTCTTTCCTTGCACAGGAACTGTGTAGGCAGAGGCCCCTGGCACTGATCCTTTGGCTTTGGGAACAGCTGCTACTATCAGAGTTGCTGACCTGGAGAAGGTGGTAGGTGGGCAGTGATGGTTCAACCAATGGCACTGGCACTGCTGCTCTGAGGTGTACACAGCCAGCTCCTGGTGGATCCCCTAAACCCTGCGCCCCACTTGCCCGAGCAGAGGGAGCTTCACTCTATCACCCATTTACTTCTCGTCTCCTCAGCACTTTCACATGAAATGAGGGAAGGGCTGTGACAGCCTGTGACTATGAGCCCCACACTTCTGTCTTCTAGAGGCAACCCACCAGGAGAAGTGGACCCGAGAGCTTGCTACCTGGAGGACCATGATTGGCGAGCACAACCGCATGATGCAGAACTGGAGGAAGGTGTGGGTACGCTGTACACCATGGGCGGGTGTGTGGGGAGCAGATGGCCAGCTGCCTACAGCCTGTCTCCAGGGCTGGGGCCACACAGCTGCAGGTTTGCTGCCAATTGGCCTCACCTGCTTCCTCCAGCCTGTCCTACCTGCAGAGCAGTTTGTTTTCTGAGAGTTCCACCCTAGCACCCAGTACTTCAACCCCTGGTGAACTCCACATCATCTGTTACCAGCCTGAGGGTGGAGGGCAATTCAATCAGTGGCCGAGCAGCCTGGACTGGCTCCTCCATGGACAGAGCACTCCACTGTCAGTAGCACACAGCCATGCCAAAAGGCCTTTAAGTGTCCAGAGCAGGGCCATTAGAGGGCGGCGGTTAGTGCTGGTGAGTGCAGGTGCTGTCTTGGGCTGGCTGATGACCTCACCACAGCACTCTTGCTGTGCCCTGTGGTCATCAGAAAGAGGCACTTTGTTAAACCCCAGTCCTGAAAAGACAGGATGGGCAAGCTGGGTAAGCAGCTGGGCTCTCTAGACAGCGCCTCCCCAAGATTCATTATTGGATGTGCTGCTGTATATACAGGGAGTCTGCCAATAGCAAAAACCCAGGGTCTAAAGGTTTGTGAAGGAGCTCTGGTACCGTAGTGGTTACGAATAGGGCTGTTAACCTCAAGGTTGGCAGTTCAAAACTACCAGCTATTCTGCAGGAGAAAGATTTGCAGGGTCCTTATGAGTCGGATCCGACTTCATGATACTTAACAACAACAAAGGTTTGTGGCCTAAATAGCTACCCCAAACCTTTCACACTGGTGCCATCAAAGGGCGGGGAGGGGAAGGATTTATAATTGGCCCTTTAAAATTAGTTTGGAGACAGAAACTGGAGCTTGTTTTCCTGCCTCATAAGACAGTTGGTAAAGTAGGAGGGGCCCATGCTGGGAGTCCCAGGCCAAACTGAGCAGAGTCAGAGGAGGCTGCTGCACTGGCCTTTCCCTCAGTGGGAAACTGTGTCTAAAAGCAGTTTGAATAGAAGAGATTCATGTTTTTGGCTAAGATTTTAGGGACAGCATTGCTCTTTCAGGAAAGCTGTGACAAGGATACCTTTTAACAGCGAGGAGGCAGCTCGTGAGACGGCTCTGAAGCTGACCCTGCAGCTCATCCAGATCACCCTTGAAGAGTGCAACGCACGCTCCAGGACACCTGCTCTGAACGTGTCCCCATATCTGCACATACCCTCTCTCAACAACAAAAAAGGGACACAACCCCTTTTTTAAAAAAAAAAATCAACTAAACATGACAGGAGGGCCTCTTTGGCAGAAGCAGGTCAGTAGCTACAAAAAGAAATTATCCTGAAGACAGCAATGCATCTGACATTTCCCCCCAAAACCGTGTCATGATGCTTTATTAGTCATTCCTACAAGATCTGACTTGTTTCATTTAGAAAAGGGCTACACTCCTTCATAGGGTAAGCACTGGACTGTGAATCACAAGGTTGGCAGTTCGAGCCCACCAGGAAAAAGATGGGGCTTTTTCTTCTGCCAAGATTCACAGGGTCACTGAGTTGAAACCAACTCAATAGCACTTCACAGCAACACTCTGAACAGCCAGTGAGTTAGCACAGCCTACTCTTGACCATTTGCTTCATGGATAGAAATCTAGGCAACTGCTCTTCCTCTTTCTGTCTAAGGTGCACTGCCAGGCAGGAAAAGGTAAGATTCCAAATGAAAGGATTTTGCCTTAAACGTGAAAGGATGAGGTTCACATTGGGAGAGTGAGTATTCAACTAACCCTGTTATCACTAATCTCAGAGTATTTGGTTCTCTGGTTTGTAAGCGCTGTGGTTTATGGCTGAGTATGTACCCTATTGATTCCACTTCTGCAACTGGACACCTTGCTTGATTGAGGAAGACAAAAGCAGGTTAACTGAGTATCTTCTGGTGCCATCACACTTTTCACAATGGAGAAAGTCTGGTTAGAAATCTGTGAGCCATGCTTGTAAGTCTATTAAAGCTTAGATTGTTCCTGTGTGAGCATGTGCAGTGACATTTTTGAGGTCTTCTATCATATAACCAAAACATCTGATAAAAATAGACGTCACAAATAGTCACATTTCTTTTGTGACTTCAAACAAGTAATGGATGCCTTCTCAGCCTTACGATCATAAATGCCACTTTGGTCCCTGTTCTCTTAAGCAGTAGACAGGTTGGGTTTTGTCTTTCTCTCTATAGGTCAGCACAGCTTTCCAACCAGTCACTTCAAGGTTCCACAATGAAGAGGCATTCTGACAGTGTGGTCAAAAGTATAGGTACCTTAGAGTTCACCTCTCTTAGCTCCCACCTTTAGTCTGCCAAGCAAACCGCTTCCCAGATAACTGCTTGTCCCCCTTGCCAAAGGATACCCATCTTTCACAAAGAAGCATCACATTTTTAACATAAAGTTATTCTGTTAAACAGTCCTCATGCTTACTGTGGCTCTTGCTTGGAGATGGCTTCAACCATAACTAGCTGCTGAGTAAATTGTATATACTTTGGGCCCTTGTCCATGGTGCTGTTTTCTGTATCGAACTCTCTGTACTCTGGATTTAGCCAGAGTATGTTCATGCTCCACACTGACACACACACTCAGGTGAATATAGCCTATAAGGATGCACTGTTGAGAAAGTAAAAGCAGAGCATTCAGCCTGTGTTCTGTATCTGGGAAGCCCTAACACTATGTGTGCTCAATGCAGCAACATCATTGCGGTGAGTCCCCTTGGCCATACCCTCAAGGTGGAAGGAGCTCTTCCACTGTCAGGAAAGTAACCTTACAACCTGAATACTTGGTAAGAACGTGGGTTCAGTCAATGGGACTGAAAGCCTCACAACAGCTCAGGAGAGGTTAAAACTTCATCCAAGGTATGCCATGGCAGATTCATTTCCATTTTATTTGCTCATGATAGGTCACTTCTCAGAGGCAGTAAAAAGTATGGCATGATTGATTTCAATTAAAAGTATTTTCAAAGCAAAAATATCATCCTGCTTGCTGGACAAGCAAAATGGCATCTAATTCTTTCCCGGCTATTCACATTGGTAGAAAATAAAAATACAACAGTAAGTCCACAGCAGGTCTTTAAGGAGTGATGCTAACAGTTCTGCTTCAAGACACAGGAGGCATGGAAACAGCCTCCTTGGTTTCCTGACATGCAGTGATTAAATGATCCAAAATGGACAGATGAGAAATTTAGGACCAACCAATAAAATGCACCATCAAGAAGCCTAAGGCAACCAGTCTTAAGCGAAATTAATCACTATTTATTCAAAATAAATTAGCCATCTTACTTGTAGGGAAAATGTGAACATCAATTTCTTCCTTCTTGCCTCAAAGATAGAAACCACATTCAGATATATTCATTTAAAAAAAAAAAAAAAGAGTTTTAGATTATCAAAACTGAAATTAGGAATATTGATATGCACTGTTTCTTTGAAAAATAAAAGACTAAACACAATACACATGTGGAAAAGTCACAGATTAGAAAACATTTACTCCTTCGGAGGCTCATTTTGGCAAATTATGTGTCCCTAAATTTGAAAACATAAATCCCCTGAGAAACGAACACTTCACCATACTCCTCTACTTTCGTGTTAGCATCACTAAGAGCTGCCTTTACAAAGGCTTCCTGCAAAGCAGTAATAGTGTACTGGGAGGCTGAAAGAAAATGAAGATACAAATGGCACTTCCTACCTCCTGTCAGTCAGTCATCCCGATCTGCCTGTCACTCAGCAAACACAATACCTGGTTCTAGCAAACAACTAACTTACTTGGTTTAATTACTCTGCAATAGAGAAGAGTTTCTTTAGCAGCCAAAGTACTCTTAGGTGTTTTCCAGTATTTTCCAAATCCACAGCATGCTCAGAAAAGCCAAAACAGTATTACAAGGCTTTCAGAAGAGGTATCAGACAAGATATCTGTGAAGCCTTGGATGGGATTCACAGCATGGTGCCCACGGAGTCGAATGTCTCCAAACATGGCCTTTCACTCCAGCTAGTTTCCATTTTGAATGGACCGAATTGAAACGAACAGGACATAGTCTTTTCCAACCGACCCCCTTTACCCAATATACGACACACACAAAATAGCTTTTTATAATTTCAAGTTCATCATTTGAGAGGTTGAAGCCCCTAAACTTTCTTCCAGTTGCCAGGCGCATCGATTATATACTTCCAGATGTTTTCTCCAGATTTCAACTAGAAAAAAGAAAGTCGTGTAACTAATAAAAAGCAACAGGAAGTAGTAAAAATGCTATGAGGACACTAGCCCCATGCGCATGAGCTCATGAAATGCTCAGAGGGAAATACTCAGCCACACAGCACTTTGTTGTCCACCTACTAAGCCAGAACCCCCTCCCCCTTTAAGGCCACCAGAAAGCACACCTCAGGAAACACCGACTGAAAAACTAATGAACATCCTGAGCACCCGTCTTAAGCATCCCTCCCTCTGTGGAGGTGACAATGGCACAAAGTCTTGGGTAGGAAGTGTCAGTCACTGACAAGGCCTACGACTCACAAAGTCTGAGGAGGTGACTGCACACCAACACCCTAAGCACTCACTGTAATATGGCTCTTCTTTCTCAGTGGGCGCTGGGCATGCATCCTCTACAGAGCCGCCTGGGTCCTGGGTAGACAGGCTGAGTGGGGTACAAGCCTTGGACTCCTCAGCCAGCTCTTGACGCACACTTTCTAGCATGGTCTTGTACTGCTGCCGGGCCGCCATCGTCAGCTCAACCATCTTGTGGAACTGGTCCTTGGGTAGAAGACAGAACATTTGTGATCCCCATGGGGACATCATATCCCAAAATTCAGTAACAGGGCTCTTGGAAGAACAAGGTCATGCTGGGCACATCACTGCCTCAGATGTCTGTAGGGCCAGGACTGAAGTGAGGCTAGGGTAGCAACTCCAGTCAGAGGCAAGCTGGTTGCCCTCTGGGCCTGCACTCAGCCTTGGGCCAGCAATACGCAAAAGGACTGCTCATGAGACACAGGCTGCCATTTTGTAAGGAAGCGTTACTTTGTGGATACATCCTCAGTGCCAAACCAGTGAAGGTTCTAGGCACTGTTCTGTTGGGTAAGCACAGGTGATTTGTGCTGTCCTCCAGCTTTTCCCGAGCAGTCCCTGCCCTATCTCACCTGGGCTCCATCATAGCTGAATATCCCCACCACACTGACAGGAACGGCTTTGTTCAGACTGCGTCCCAGAGCTTTGCGGTTGAGAGCAAACACAAACGGGATGTTCTGCTCACAGGCATAATCAATAATGGTGTGCAAAGTGTCATCCAGCCCACCTGGGTCAAAGGAAACAGGAAAACGATAAAGGAGACAATGACATGAGGTATGTTGTCAGGCTGGCTGCAGGCAGCTGTACCGTCCACTCTTTTTTTAATTCTGAATTCAGTGGCCCAGTGCCAGATTTCACCAGAGAAAAAGCCAAGTCACTGCATGCTTTTTCTCTGGTGAAATCTGGGTGAAGAAAATCAGTACCTCAAACAGACAAAGTGATAACATGTAGCACCCTCGTACTTACATGATAGTAATGCTTTGGGGGAAAACTAAAATGTTAGCTAGTATTTACTAATTACTATGGGCAGAACACTGGTGGCCCAGAGGTTAAGTGCTTGCCTCCTAATCAGAAGGTCAGCATTGTGAATCCACAATGGAAGAAATACAGCAGTTAGCGTCCATAAAGATTAATGCCCTTGGAATCCCTTTGGGGCAGTTCTACTCTGTGCTATACGGTTGCTATGGGTCAGAATTGAGTTGACAGCAATGGGTTTGGTTTTGAGTTTGTGTACTATGTGCCAGGCACTAACTGATGTGTTTTGCATGTACTAACTCCTAGAGCTCTCACAAAAGCCCTTCAAGGCTGATGCTGGGATGCCCACTGAGCGATGAGCAACCAGAGGCACAGAGAGGTAGCATCACTTGTTCCAAAAGGTTCTTTTAGAATGTGCTAGGCAAGGCTCAGGCTGCCATGTGCACCAGGCCAGTGAGTTTAAGAAAGGAAGGCAGGATTCTATGTATAAGGAGAGACTTGTCAGCCCAGAAAATGCACACATCACCTAGGAATTATTACTAACAGCAGAGGACTTAGAGAATTTGTGCACAATGAATTTACACATACAAATGACAGCCCAGTAAAACATATAAGGGAAGCAATGACTTCATTTTCACAGCACTGGAGAGAAATTTTACATGATCTGTTGAAAAACTTATATACAATATTAAAGAATACAACAGAAAATGTGAACATGTAAAAAGGCTCTTGGATAAGGTGACCAAAAATGACACAAATGTCGACTCTATGCTAACCTAACAATTTGAAAATGCTGTGACTTACTACAAATAGGATTTTTATATTTTGGTAAATAAAATAAGAGCAGCAGGGCATTCTGAGAAGGGACACTGAGGTTAGGCCAGCATCATTTGGTATCAACATCTACTACTGCGCTGCTGGGAATGACTCAATATGGCCCTTCTAGCTTTCTAACTCCCACCAAATGACTGGGTTGTTTATTGTTCTTAGGTTGTTTGTTGTAATTATGCTCAGACTGATAGTCACTCTATGAACATCAGAGCAAAACACTGCAAATTCTGCACCATCCTAGTAAAGCCCATTACTGCGGACACTGTGCCAATCCATCTTGTCCGGGGACTTCCTCTTCTTCCCTGATACTCTACTTTACCAAGCATGATGTCCTTCTCCAGGGACTGGTCCTTACTAATATGTCGTCGCTATCCTGGCTTCCACTTTGGTTATACTTCTTCCAACACAGATTAGTTTGTTCCTTGAATACTCTTCTCTAACACCATTAACTCAAATGCACCAATGCTTCTACGGTCTACCTTATTCCTTGTTCAACTTTCACATGGATATGAGACTACTGAAAATACCATGGCTTGAGGGTCTGATGATTTTTAGTTCTCAAACTGTTATCTTTGCTCTCTGACAAATTAAAGAGGTCTTGTGCAGCAAATTTACTTACTGCAATACATCCTTTGATTTCCTGACTGCTGCTTCCATGAATACTGATTGTGGATCCAAGCAAAATGAAGTCTTTGCACATCCAACAAGGGATCAATTTCTAAAATATATAGGAAACTACAACACTTCTACAAGAAAAAATAAATAACCCAATTAAAAAATGGGCACAGGACATGAACAGACACTTCACCAAAGAGGAGATTTGGGCAGCCAACAAACATATGAAGAAACGCTCACGATCACTAGCCATTAGAGAGATGCAAATCAAAACAACAATGAGATATCATCTCACACCAGCAATAATAGCAACGATCAAAAAAGTAAAGGATAATAAATGCTGGCAAGGATGCAGAGAGACTGGGACTCCTACAATGCAGGTAGGATTGCAAAATAGTCCAACCTCTCTGGAAAACAGTATGGTGCTTCCTCAGAACACTGGAAATAGAAATACCTTAAGATCCAGCAATTCCTCTACTTGGTATTTATTCACAAGAAATACGAGCCGTAACACGAGTAGATATATGCACACCAATGTTCATAGCAGCATTACTTACTTACAATAGCAAAAAGATGGAGACAGCCTAAGTGCCCATCAATGGAAGAATGGATAAATAAACTGTGGTATATACCCACAATGGAATATTATGCTACTTTGAAGAATAACAAGGAAGCTGCAAGCCACCGCATAACATGGATGAATCTTGAGGACATTATGCTGAGTGAAATTAGTCAGTCACAAGAGGAGACGTACTGCACAAGGCCATTACTGTAAAGCTAAAGAAAAAGTACCCACATTAAAAGGGTGTAAAAAAATTATCTGTTGGTTACCAGGGTGCAGGAGGTGGGGCGAGGGAAGGAAGGGGAAGGTGGAGCCCAAGGTAGGGAATAGACACAAGACACTTTGGGTGCTACAGGGGGTGGGGAGGAGGACCATACACTAGAATGAGGAGGGGAATGGAAGAACAAGCCAGATGGGAGAATAGTTAGGCAGGTTTGCATGGCCTAAGTGGGACAGAGGTAAATAGTGATGTATGCGCAACCTTGGAACAACAGGGCTCTGGGATACAGGGACTGAGGCATGGTTTGAATGGACAAAAGAGGGGAAATAATGTTAGGATGCTTGGTTGTGTTTTGAATCTTGCTTTCCCTTGCCTACTACTGTAAAATAGACACTTTAGGAGGAGAGAAAGGAATAGCTAGAAACATCACCATAGAAAGCTTGTAAGTCCGTCTGTAGCCTATATATGATTGGGGCTAGAACTTGCCCAGGGAAGGAGGCTTCCTGTGGAGCCTTTGCATTGCATAAGACCATAGGTGGAATCCGAATCCCCATCCAGAATTTTGAGATGGGAAATTTCCACTTGAAAGGATAAGCAGACCAGCCTGGAGCTGCTAAAAGAACAGAAGATACTTCTTGAAAGAAAGACCAGCAGGAAAAATAAAAAACAATAGTGGTAATCCAACTGATTACTATAAGAACAAGTTGTTCGCCAGGGAGCCATCAGGGCAAGTGGTCAGGTCCTTTCAGGGCAAACCTCCTTCCAAAACTAAGACTCAAGGGTAATACACAAGCAGGCATATATGGTCTGCCTGGTGACCACGTTGGTCTACTGATAAGGGAAAGTGGGGGGGAAACAGCAATGAAGTTGTGGGCTAAGTCCGACCATGTTCAACAGACTCCTGTCCACTTGGATCGAGACCTGGTTGGCCAGCAGTATGGTGAGACCTGGGTACTACTGGACCCAGGGACATGGCCACAGAGGACTAGAGCGGAGAGTGAAGCGTCCAGCTGATATGAAGTTAGGGGAGATGCACAAGAACACTCATACTTGCAGATAACATCCATTTGACCTGGCTTCAATGGCTGGATGATCAGAACTCAACTAGAGGAAGAAAGAAGAGTGGAAAAAAGAGTAATCCACTAAAATTTTAATGAACTTGACCTATACTTATGAATGTAGTAGCTCGAAAGAGGGAACAAATCTTTACAGTGAAGGCCATTCCCACCCCCTCGGTAGGCAGGGTTGACAGAAATGGGCAAATTAAGACACTGGCTATCCAAAATGGGGGGACTATAAAAGCATGAAATGACTGGCTTACAAGCTTTCAAGAGGGAGCCTAGTTTCAGAAGGTACGGGGGAAGGGAGAACTCCACTGAGAGGTTTCCAACCTGTCTGGAGGTTTGGTGAAAGGAGATGGGGATAAGACTCTTGTGGTTCAATAGTGACTAATTGCTATCAGGACTGAGTGTGTATGTTGCAAATGTAAAGGTAGACATTTTGTAACAAAAGGAGGGGAGTGGTTGATCTTGCAGTTCAGGAGTGGAGGACCCTGGGACCATCAAGGGAGAAGAGCAGAGTGCAGGACCCTATCCAAAGAAGCAGTGACACCTGTGATGGAGGCAGAGACGATGATGTGGAAAGATGGAGCGGCTGGGGACCTTGGACTCAGGGAGGGAGAGGGGCTGTGTGCTGACGCCCAGGGGGTGGGCTTGCGGGGTATGCTCTTTGGCTGTTTAAATGGTTGTATATTCCTGAGTGCTTCGGTGCACATCCAAATAAAAAACAACAACAACAGAAAAAACAAACAAACAAGGAATGGAAGCAAATGGTGTTGAATGATGATGCATGTAATCACTGCAATGAAACAAAATACAATAGGATGAATGTAAAGCTGATTTTCTTCCATGCAAACTATCACCCAATTCACAATAAAAACTTAAAAAAAAAAAAGAAGTCTTTGTCAACTTCAACCTTTTCTGCATTTCTCATGATGCTATTTATTGATCCAATTGTGAGGATGTTTGCTTTGTTTTTTTACATTAAGATGCAATCCATATTGAAGACTGTGGTCTCTGATCTTCATCAGTCAGTATTTTAAGTCTCCTTTACTTTCTTTCATGTATCATTTTATTTTTTAATTTTTTGTTTTCATAGAATACATTTTCACATTAGAGACGCCCAAAGTAAGAAAACAGCAGTTTGTTACTTTTCAGTTTTATAATTATAGGCAGATTATTTAAGGACATTTGAAGGATATGTCTCAGTTTGCAATCTATATTTTAATGCATCTACAAGGAATGGAACATCTCTGTAATTAAACATTCTCCAAGCTTTACCTCCTAAAATTCGTAAATTAGTGAGACATTTCCTCATTTTAAAGTTTCACTAGAACATGTAACTAACCATCAACAGAAGAGCATAAAAAAACAGAGGAGGATGTTTCCAAAATCTTAAAGACAGTTATAATTTTCTGCAAAATCTTTACTTTTGAGTTAACAGACATTCCCATTATCCATCATTC